CAGACTTTGCGATTAATTGCGCTACTCTGATTATTTAGTAAGGTGGGGTGTTACAAAAACCCTTTAGGTTTCTAGCCCCGTGGCTATTACATGATGGCTTCCCGGACATCGTTGCGAACTGTTGGTCGCGGGACACTGATTTTATGGAAGCGGCAAAGTCTTTTTCTATCGTCGCGAGTGATTGGAATTTTCGAGTCTTCGGCAACATTTTCACCAAAAAGAAGACTCTCCTGGCCCGTATTGGAGGAATTCAACGGATTCCACCTTATCGCCGCAACGCCCGTTTATTGCAATTGGAGAAAACTTTAACGGAGGAGCTAGAAGAGATACTCCTACAAGAAGAAATCCTTCTGATTCAAAAATCTAACCGTAATTGGTCTCTTTTCGGGGATCGCAATACCGCTTTCTACCATCGACAAGTGAAAGCTAGACGCCGAAAGAACAAAATTGTTGCTTTACGGGATGCTGAGAATAACTTAATCACGGACCCGGTTGAGCTGCAAGCCATGGCCGTTAGTTACTTTAAATCCATTTATGATGTTGGACGGCCAGATTCCTTAGACGGGCCTGCGATTTCTACTTTCCCAGAATTAAACCCGCAGGCCCGGTTCCTTCTTGACCGAGAGGTGGCTGAGGAGGAGATTACAAGGGCACTAAAGGAAATGGATCCACTTAAAGCGCCGGGCACTGATGGGCTGAACGCATTATTCTTTAAGAGCCAATGGGACCGGGTCGGGCCCTCCGTGTGCAAGCTGATTCGGTCAATCTTTCTTGGTGGGGATATGCCTGAGGATCTCAATCAAACTCTTCTCGTCCTCATCCCCAAGTGCGACCATCCTCAAACAATTAAGCAGTTTCGCCCCATAAGCCTTCTGAATGTGGTATACAAGATACTCACGAAGGTTCTAGCCAATAGGATGAAGCCTTTTCTTCCTGATTTAATCGGACAGGCCCAATCCAGCTTCATTCCGGGACGCCAAATCCATGACAACATCATTGTGGCCCAAGAACTCATTCATTCGATGAAAACGAAAACGGGCAACACGGGCTTCATGGTGGTGAAAGTGGACCTGGAAAAGGCGTACGACTTTCTTCGATGGGATTTCGTTGAGGAAACTCTTACGATGGTGGGATTCCCGTCACGTTTCGTGCAAGTTATTATGAAATGTCTAACTACGGCATCCATGAAGGTCCTCTGGAATGGAGTCCCGAGCGAGCTATTCCACCCGTCTCGGGGGGTTCGCCAAGGGGACCCTATATCTCCCTACCTTTTTGTACTATGCATTGAACGACTAGCACATAGCATCCAGCGTGCAGTTTGGGACGGCCAGTGGAAACCAATAAGCTTAGGGCGGGGCCAGATCCAAGTTCCATATTTATTGTTCGCGGACGATCTTCTTCTTTTTATGGAGGCCTCAACCGACCAGGTACATATTCTCAAAAGTGTGCTCGTCGACTTTGGCCATCAGTCCGGATTAAGGGTAAGCGAGGCCAAATCTAGTGTCTTCTTCTCGAAGAATGTTCCCCGGGTTAAGCAACAGGCTCTCTCGCAATTAATGGGGTTCAATAAGGTGGAAGATCTTGGATATTATTTGGGTGTCCCGATATTACATGGCCGTATCAAGGGACGAACATATGAGAAGTTGATTGAAAAAACGGATTCTCGACTAGCCGGGTGGAAAGCGGCGTCCTTGTCTATGGCGGGACGAGTGGTTCTAGCCCAAGCAGTGGTCAGCGCACTCCCATACTATACCATGCAATCGGCCCTTTTACCTACATCCATATCCACGGGCCTTGAGCAACGCATTAGACGCTTCATTTGGGGGGGCTCCGAGGACCGAAGGAAGATTAGCCTTGTTAAATGGGAGGAGGTTTGCTCGCCGAAAGATCTCGGAGGGCTGGGGATCAAAAGACAACGACTAATGAATGAGGATTTGCTAATGAAGCTCGGCTGGAAATTCCTTACAAATCCGAATTCACTATGGGCGCGAATCTGGAAGGCCAAATATGGGAACAATCCCTTTGACTCTGTGAATGGACGCCGACGACCAAGCTCTGGCTTATTTCAAGCGGTTAATAAAATATGGAAGCATGTTATTGGTGGCGCACGTTGGGCTATTCGTAACGGCGAAATGGTGAAGTTTTGGACGGATAAATGGCTGCATCCAAATATCACCCTACAGAGTGTCTCGACGGCTACGATCCCGGAGGACCTACTTTACCAGAATGTTAGATTTTTTACATCGGAGGGAGGTACATGGCGATGGGAGTCCTTCTCACACCTGGTGCCGTCGTCGATTTTGTTACAGATTGCGGCAGTCCCGCCACCACGGGCGGAGCTCGGCTGTGACAGGTTGTACTGGGGACCTTCGTCGACCGGCAAATTCACGTCACGGTCAGCGTATGACTTCTTAGCAGCGGATGGTGCATCGACGCAGGAGCCTGGAACTTTATGGCGGGTCATCTGGAAGTGGCCGGGCCCTCAACAGAAACGGCACTTTCTTTGGCTCTTGGCAAAGGACCGTTTACTCACAAACGCGGAGAGGAGGAGGCGTCACTTGACATCCGTTGGTCTATGCGAGATTTGCAGTCAAGAAGAGGAATCGGCACTTCACGTTTGTCGAGATTGCCCGCTTGCAGCTAAGATTTGGAGAAGTCTCGTTCCAGCTGTGACGCATGCTGAATTCTTCTCACAAGATCTGGAGCCTTGGCTGCGGCAGAATCTCATGGCTCAGTCGTTTAATGGCGACACCAACTGGGCGCGAACCTTTGGCGTAATCGTGTGGAAATTATGGCGGTGGCGTAATGAATTTCTTTTCCAGGGCAAAAGCCGTGCTGCAGAGAGCGGACTACATGAAATTTCTGCGTACATAGCCGGCATGATATGCCTAATTGACGGCGCCCGCAAGCTTGGGGACACGGGGAGATCGCGGACACCACAATGGATAAATTGGGAACCTCCTCGGGCAGGCTGGGTCAAAATGAACTCCGACGGCTCCTTTGATCCGTCGACAGGGAGGGGATATGCTGGTGGTTTGCTGCGAGATGAACAAGGCCATTGGCTTCGCGGTTTCTCGATTAACATTGGTATTTGTTCAATCATGGCGGCCGAGCTATGGGGCTTTTTCCAAGGTTTGTCCCTTGCATGGGAGTTGGGATATCGGCATGCTGAGGCCGAAGTAGATAACGTGGCAGTAGTGAACTTTGCGAATGCCTTGGATGATGTACCGGGGGTCCATATAGGCTTAGTTTCGGGGATAAAAGAGCTCCTAAGTCGACCGTGGGAAATTCGGGTTAAACACATATATCGTGAGGCGAATTATGCGGCCGATTTCTTGGCGTCCTTTGCCGCGAGAGGACCATTGGGTTTCCAGCTGTTGGATGAACCTCCGGGGGGACTACGGCAATGGCTTCAGCATGACCTTATCGGCGTGGCCTACCCCCGCACTATCTACTCCGTCACCTACTAGGCGTCTAGCCTCTTTCTTTGTACCAAAAAAAAAAAAAAATGGTATTAGCAGTAGCATTAGTCTTAGTGAGCGCTCTCTCTTCTTTTGTCAAGAATATCATTTCTCACAAGAATAGCAACCAAAGATGATTACGACAAAGGCCAAATTTTATTTTTGGTCCATTATATTGGCCATTTTTCAGAAATGGTCCACTAATTTGACGGACATCAAACTTGATACAATA